CGTGTTTTTCTACCTCTCATTATGAATGCCATGAAATATCCGTGGAAAGAAACATCTGTGTAACATATCATAAGAACAGAGAAAATGAGGCTTTCAAACTCCCAGGATCAGTTGTGGTATCAATGTTTGCATTGCTATTTCACAAAATGAGGAATTTAGCAAAAAAGTGAGATTTTGCTTCATGTTACAAAACTAACCACCACCCAAGTTCAATGAAGTTGCCTCTAACCTTTTAAAGATACAGAAATATAACTTTAAAGCTTTTATTTTTTGTTAGATCTGTCACCATGCCAGAATGAAAGTGAAGAGATTAGATAATCACGCCATGGGGCAGTGACTCATCTTCTGAAACATCATCCTCAATATCTCTTTATAAGCATCCTAATAAGAAAATCCATTTGCTATCTTTTTTGGCCAAATGTCTAAAATTCTTTTGAGCCCAAAGATAGGTTAAAAACCTTGATACAGGACAAAGGAGAGAAATAGTGAATTGATTGATGTGTTTCAGCTAATTTAACCAAAGCTTATCCCATACTGTGGGGTTTGTTGAGGTTTGTTAACCCATTTATGCTGGAGGTTGCAAATTTTTGTGTGTGAAAAATCAGACCTTGGTGATGACCTTGAGCGGTAGGATATAAATAACCCACAAGCTTCGCGTTCCAATAAAGGAACACTAGTTATAAATGGGTTAAGAAGGGTAGATAAGAAACAGTTAAGTAGAGTACACGGTTAATAAATGCCATAAGGACAGAAATGGAACACAAACCAAAATAAATATGCAATAGAAGAAAACTATGGGAAAATCATTTTCATGCTTGAAGCCCCAGTTTTAGCATCTTTAAAAAAATATTGTGCTCCTTATGCCACTTAGCTGTGCTCTTCTAAGAAACAACCATGGCAGCTTCCCCTGGTAGACAAGGTCTGGGCGCAGGATCAAATCCACCTTGCCACTTAATCCAGTGTGATCTTGGGCAAGTTATTTAACCTTTCTGTATTTCAGTTTCAGGATCTGTAAAGTGGGTTGGTGATAACTATTTCTCAGGATTGCTGGCAGGATTAAGTGAAGTAAAACATGTAAAGCACTCTGACAGTGAATGGCATACATACTACATGCTCAATATAGGGTATGGCTTATCAATATTTGAAATATTACTATTCCAATTTAGAAAATGATACTGCCCATTGTTATGAAGCTCAAATAAGATAATGAACATAGATGCCTATCAAAGCAACAGAAGATGTACAATACAGGTGAGGACTAATTATAATTGTGAGGAGAGAGAACTTGATACAAGCATAAATTCTGCTGAGCTACTTCAGATAGTGTGAGTTACCCTTAATGTAACAAAAGATCTTTAAAAGCAATAAAACCTGTAGGGGCTTCATCCAGTGACAATTCCCAAATTAATATAAAATGTGGCAAGCTTTGGCAATCCTGAACAAAGCTGCCTTCCAATGAGTTTTGGGTGAGATAAGATGTTCAATACAAGACTTCCAGCTCTGTCCCTTATATAATTAACAGTTCTTAATCCCTACCCCTTTGAAGAAGCAGCCACTAATATAGGGATATCCTTTACTGAAGAAAGACTGCCTCAGCAGGAAGTTGATTGCCCTGGCTGGCCCAAGTACCAGAACCTAACCCTAATCCACCCCAGGCTCCCAACCTCGCCCTCACTTAAGGGACTTGCCCTTCCTTTCTTCCTTTCGTCTGCCTTCAACTCTGGAGCCAAACCAAGTACCTCTCATTATTGTCTCTGTAGCCCATCAGAGAGCACCCCTAATCCTAACACGCCTACATACACACGCACACACAAATACATGCACACACACGCAGATGCACACACGCAAGCACACCTGCACCTCTCTCTCCCCCTCTCTCCCTTCCTCTCTTCCTCTCTTCCCTTGGAATGACCTCCACTCTCATCCCAGGCACTGGCAGGAATGCACACACTACCTCAGCTTCTCACACTGCTTCTCACACTACATTAGGCTTCTCACATTGCCTTACAATGACCACACAGAATAACTACAGAACTCTCAGCACAGGGGGACTGGTGAACCAGGCCATTTTAAAAAGTCAAGAAACAGGTGGCCAAACCTCAGGACAAACTGCAGATTCAGAGGTTATTTCTTCCTTTCTCGGGCAAAGATTTTATTTGCCTCACTCTATGACAAAAGCTTGTCATTTTGCCTCAAACAGGTACTCTGATACTTTGAAATGAGGAATACAAAGCATAAAATAACCACCAATAATGGCAACCAGACAGTCCCCTAACCACAGCCTTCTATAGAGTCTAGAGGTCTTCCCAGCTCTCAGGGAAAGTTTTCCGCCCTCAGTGGGGGAGATAATTGGCCATGAGCGGATCAAACACATTATAAGGTATTCCTGTGTAATGTACTTCTCATCGTCTGCCCCACTCAACCATTATTAAGGTTTTGGGATTTAGAACACACACACACACACACACACACACATATATACACCTGTATACATACACTCACACATATACACACCTATATACATACATTCACACATATATACATACCTACACACATATATACACACCTATACACACACATATACACATCTATACACACACATATACACACCTATATACATACATGCACATAAACACACATATATACACACACACACCTATACACACATACACACCTATATACATATATATACACATATATACACACCTATATACATACACACACATAAACACACATATATACACATACCTATATACACACATATACATACCTATACACACATACACCTATATACATAAACATATATGCACCTATGCACACACACACATATACACACATACACATATATACATACCTATATACACACATACACATATACACACACCTATATACACACACAGATATACACACATCTATATACACACATACACATATATACACACCTGTATACGTATATACACACATATACACACCTATATACACACACATACATATATATACACTTATACCTTACACACGCACACACACGCACACACACACATCTTAGAAAATAAATGACAGTGGGAAAGATACTCAAGCCCATGGGTTTTCCATGGGTTTTCAGATCTTAAGAACAGAAGGACCATTCCCATTCTCTCTCTCCCGCCCCCATCCTGCCTGCTCCATGGACACAGAAGTGGCCTCGGAAACGGGAGGGACAACTGGACTAATGTTCTCTTTATGATTTGCAAGATGCTTATGCTTTTGCAGACTCGCACATTACACTTTTAGACAGAAGCTAGATTTCAAAAGAGGGCTATGGGGAGACAGGGATGGGGAGTCCCACGTGGAGCCAGGAGCAGTTGCTCCCTAGTCCCTCTGTCACCACGTGGCGAAGGGTTTGTGTGGATACTGCGCCCTTGCCACCCCTCACCCTGACCCAGGACATTGCTGCTTTATTTCTGTCTCCTGCCCCTGAGAACATTCGAATTTATGAGCCCTGATCAGCTCCACTCTACTTGTTCCACAAACGAGAAAACATAAAGCCCACCATAGGAAAGTCACTTGCTGAAATCTTCTCTTTTATACCCAACCAAGTGCTTCGGAACCTCTATTTCTAGTGCAGAATCTTGAGTCGGGGAAACAGTCTTGTCTGGAAGTTCCCTCCACCAGCTAAATAACCTTTGACCCTAGAATTGGTTGATCTTCAAGACTCCTTCACCTTCATGCACTAGTCACTATGCGTTATCATGCTCAAATAGCGACCTGCAGAGTCCTCCACATGCCAGGCCTGGAGCTCTGTGTACACTCTAGATATTCCCACGATGATTCTGGGAAGGCACATTATTCACACAATTTTACAAATGAGGAAGGTAAGGCTCAGAGCAAGGGCACACAGATGGGGCCTGGACTGTACTTGAGCTCAGGTCTCTCTGATACCAAACCTACATATCTTGCATATCTTGCGTATGCCTTGCTGCCTTCCAAATGTCTACCATCTCCTTCAATGAGACACAAAATCAGAACTCATTTGGCCCTGAACAAAATTAAATGCTAGGGTTACCAGTGAAATAGCAGAAAAAGGCTCTGCCTGTCTACCTGGGATTGTCACATGGTTTCTGTGTATTTGCAGCTGCTCCTACTACACTAGACGTTCCCTCAAGGAAGGTGCTTTGCCTTATGTGTTTTGGCTTCTCCTATGTGTATGGTCACTTAATACTGCTTGAAGGTATTGCTCAACAGCTTCTGATTTTAGTTTCTGATCAAATTTTACTAAAATAGGCCTCTTGCGAGGATGCATTTCATACCCCTCTGTGGGTCCTTAGAAAGGTCCTTTGTTCTCTGGTCATCCCTTATGCCCTCTCCTACTTTGATCTACCCTTGGGAAAGTATATCTCAAGGTACATAAAATCACAGGTTTGGTTTTTGCAAATAAAACAAGTTGTTTTCAGAGCAGTAAGAGATAAGCCAGGCCAAGATAGCAAAACCCCGTCTCTACTAAAAATACTAAAATAACCGGGCGTGGTGGTGCACGTCTGTAGTCCCAGCTACTCGGGAGGCTGAGGCAGGAGAATCGCTTGAACCTGGGGGGCACCTGACCTCAGGTGATCCGCCCACCCGGCCTTTAGTTTAGGTTAACTTTGAAGCAAGGATGATAATAGTTCCTCCCTAAAACTGGTCCTCTCCCTGCTGGGGGATGAAAACCGCCTTTGTAAGACTAACGAAAGGCCACAAGATTAGAATTTTGGAAAAGGCCTGAATTCTGCGAAGAGGTAGGCACAAAGGACAACCAGCCACTGTCCCCCAGCTTACCTTGCTACAATTCCCTTACTGCTCAGGGAACACAAGTTGTGGTCACTGCTTTCTAATGTTTCCAAAGTAAATTAGGCAACAAATCCAACTCTAAGTGGTAAAACAAAACAAAACAAACAAACAAAAAACATATTTGCAAAGTACTTGAATATCAAAGGAAGCAGTTGTTTTAGAAGTAGCATCAGTTAATGAGTAGTGGTAATACTTACAACCCATATGATGATCAACCTTCTGGATAAATAAGGGTCAATATTCCAGTGAGTGAATGGAAGAAATGTGATGTAGAACACTTCTTGGCCCAAAGCAGCTGAAATTTGGAATAGGTAATAGTAGAAATAATTCTTCACGACGTACTTCTGTACATAAGCCTAAAAGACAAAAGTTAGAAGACTCTGTGAGTTCATGCAGTATGTCAAGTTTTAAACATCTCTGTCTAAAACTCACAGGTCTCAATTGCCAAGACGCTGCCTCCTCTCCCGTTATGTTGTTAAGGTATCGTTACTGTCATTGAACACTTTTTCAACCTCAATTTATTCAAACAAACACAGAGGCTGTGATTTTTTTTGTAAAATCAAATAAGTTATATCCAAGACAGAAGTACCAGGAGAAGACACACCAAAAAAAAGCCAAAAACTTTTTCTTGTATATGCAGAAAGCTAGAAACGTGGAGAAAGTGAACTCTGTTAGGACATTATATGGGTCTCTGCAATAGGCAGAGTAATGCTTCCCTCAAAGATTTCGATGTCCTAAATCCTAGAACTGAATATATTACCTTACAGGGCAAAAGAGACGTCAAATATGCAATTAGCGATCTTTCTATTTTCAAATTTGCATTGATACATAATGATTGTACACATTTATGAGGCACATGTAATATTTTCATCCATACATAGAACACATAATGATCAGTCAGAGTGCTTCAGATGTCTGTCACCTCAAACACTTATCATTTCTTTGTGCTGGGAACATTTCAGATATTTTCTAGCTATTCTGAAATATACAATAACTTCTTCTTATTTTTTTTTGAGACGGAGTTTCACTCTTGTTGCCTAGGGAGTGCAATGGCATGATCCCGGCTCACCACAACCTCTGCCTCCCAGGTTTAAGTGATTCTCCTGCCTCAGCCTACCGAGTAACTGGGATTACAGGCATGTGCCACCACACCCAGCTAATGTTGTATTTTTAGTAGACATGGGGTTTCTCCATGTTGGTCAGGCTGGTCTCGAACTCCCAACCTCAGATGATCCACCCACCTCAGCCTCCCAAAGTGCTGGGATTACAGATGTGAGCCACCACGCCCGGCCTGACAATAACCTATTCTTAACTGTAGTCACCCTATTGTGCTATTGAACACTATAACTTATATCTTCTAATTGTATATTTGTATGCATTAAACAACCTCTCTTCATCCCTTCTCCTTCTCAGCCTCAAATTAATAATCTCGAGGTGGGGAGATTAGTCTAGATTTTCTGGGTGGGCTCAACCTAATCACAAGGATTTCTTTTTCTTTTAGAAATGGAAGGAGGAGGCAGAATGGTCAAAGTCAGAGAACCATTTGAAGATGCTAAGCTGCTGGCTTTGATGATGGAGAGAGTGGCCGTGAGTCAAGGAATCTGGATAGCAGCCTCTAGGAGCTGGAAGAAAGCAAGGAGTCAGATTCTTCCCTCCAGCCTCCAGAAGAAATACCACCCAGGTGACACCTTCATTTTGGCTAAATAAGAGCCACTTTGGACTTCTGACCTATAAGAGAATAAATCTGAAACTGCTTTTGCAAAGATTATGAAAGAGAAGACGTCTAGCCTGGCTGACTCTATCTTGCTTCTAGCCTCACAGGCTGGCTGTAATTGCTCACTCCTAGGCGTAGGCCAGGCTACCCATGGGAGGAATTTAGGTTAGTTTAATTTTGTTTATTTTTTATTTTTTGTTTGTTTGTTTGTTTTTTTGAGACAGAGTCTCGCTTTGCACCGAGTGCAATGACACTATCTTGGCTCACCGCAACCTCTGCCTTCCAGGTTCAAGTGACTCTCCTGCCTCAGTCTCTGAAGTAACTGAGACTACAGAAGTGCACCACCACACCCGGCTTATTTCTGTATTTTTAGAGAGATGCAGTCTCACGAAGTTGTCCAGGCTTATCTCCAACTCCTGACCTCAGGTAATCTGCCTGCCTTGGCCTTTAGTTTAGGTTAACTTTGAAGCAAGGATGATAACAGTCCCTCCATAAAACTGGTCTGCTCCCTGTTGGGGGATGAAAACCACCTTTGTAAGACTAATGAAAGGCCACAATCTTAGAATTTTGGGAGAGGCCTGAATTCTGCTAAGACGTAGGCATAGTTAAAGGACAACCAGCCACTGTTCCCCAGCTTATGTTTCTACAATTCCTTTATTGCCCAGGAGTCATGTGACCAGAGGTCACAAGGTTTGTAACTTCCCCAATTGCTCCTGTATCGTCATCATCGTCATATAACATCAGTATCGCAGAACCTAAGATTTGTCTTTTGAGATGTTTTCCAGACTTTTGCATTCTGGTGACCAACTGACTCTACCTGGACCCATGATGACTCATGACTCCACTGGTCCTGTGGCCCCCACCCAGAGGCTGATGGGAGTAATAAACTCTCGTCTGCCACTTGGCTAGCTGGCCCTGCATTAATTAAATTCTTTCTCAACTGCAATACAACTGTCTCAGTGAATTGGTTTTATTTGTGCAGCAAGAAGAACCCATTGGGAGATTACAAATTTGCATTTTAAACCACTAAGTTTGTGGTAATTTGTCACAGCAGCAATAGATAACTAATACAAAGATGTTAGAAAAATCACTTGCCTCTGAACTTTATAAATTCACCTTTTAAACGGGTCTAATGAAGTTAACCCATCATAATGATGGTTTGAGAAACACTTATCAGAAAGTACACACGAGACCTGTTAAAATGCATTCTCATTTTTAAACATCCTTTTCTTCCTGCTTATCCTGGTAGTGGGCAGAAAAGACAGACTTAGGGAGTTAAAACAGAAAATCAGCAATCTAGTAAAAAATATGGTACACACCTTTACATTATGGTATGTTAACAACTTAAAAAACAAAACGTAGTCACCCTGTTACATGAAACTAAAAAGTAGAATTGTAATGCTACTTAAGGTGGTCATAAACTTTATAAAATAAAATCAAAGCAAAATGCCAACACTAAAACAGGAGGGAAGAAGAGGCATCCCTGTTACAGGGAGATTTTTCTCAAGACTCTTGGAGATCTGGATTTTTGTTTTTTGTTTTACTCTACACAAAGTCCGAGGTTCTTGAATCCCAGGGGATTTCGGAGAACAAGCTATGTTTGTTTATGTATTTATTCCGTAAATATTCATTCTGTGCCTATGATGTCCAGCACCTGTGCTAAGTGCTAAGCATATTTGGAAGAGCCAGGTGTGATGTCTGTTTCAACAAGCTCTTATGGGAGAAGCGGGGAAGAGTACAATTTGGAGGAATAAATTTTTAAAGGATCATTGTTGTATTTAAGGCCTTAAAAAAGGCTGAGAGTACTTTATACCTGAGAAGTAAAAAAAAAAAAAAAAAAAAAAAAAAAATTACCTTGGAAACTGCAAGAACATAACTGTACCTGACACTATTGGCTATCAAGCATGCATTCCTCTCTTTTACCTCCCTAAGAGGTTCGCAGTTTTGTTCCAGCATCTCTACCTCCCCCACACAGCCCTGAGGGAAAGTTGACACTGCTCTCTGGGAATGGATCTAGATTCATCCAAAGGAGTCATGAAAAGCATAAGAATTCAGTCTCAAGCCGAGCAGTGCACAGGACTACCGGGAGACAGTTACTGGTCAGGGGTAAGTACGTGTAATCTAAAAAGGGGTCTCCCATCAGGGATAAACTTTACTTCCAAGTGAATTCGAATGAAAGAGAATGGTAATACATCCATCCTAAACAGGAATGCCAATAATGCACAAATGAATTAGATAAGGAAGTGTATAGTTTCACCTCTCTGCTAAGATATCATGGTTGCATTTGCAAAACAAGGACAAGGGTCTGAGACAAATAAGTGACAAATGCCTCTCTCTAGAGTGGAATCATGAACTGCCTGAGGTAAGGACTAATCTCTGCAGGTTCTGTGTACAAATATACAATCCAATAGGCCTGACCTTTAGGCACACCCTATAAAGAGCTCCTCTTTAGCCCACCAGCTACCAGATACACCTGCTAATCTTTCCAGCTTTGAATCTTTACAAGGATAAATTTTGCCAAACTGTAACGAACCCCTCGCTGGTATCATTTCATGACACCCAAGTGGTATATGACATGATAAGTACTCAGCAACAATCATTTCCCTACTCTAGAGATCGACCGGAGACCACATTCAATATCTTAATCCTAGTAAACAATTGAAAAGACCACCAAAAATGACAGCAAACTGCTTTAGCGCTACATATCACTAACTGACATCTTTAGACAGGCTTTTTTACAATCTCTCAGGAATTTGTTTTTTGAGGGAAAATCTAACTATTCTCTAACTCTTCTCAGGAACAGAATAACCAAAGGTGAAGTTTAAAATATCAGCATATATAGATGACACCTCAAGGATTTCTTAGATAACTTCTCTGTATACATGATTGAATAGCTTGAGAGCCAATACTTCCCTTTAAATTCTTGGGCGCTTAGACGTACCTAAATAAAACAGCTGTCAGGCCTCTGAGCCCAAGCCAAGCCATCGCATCCCCTGTGACTTGCACGTATAAGCCCAGATGGCCTGAAGTAACTGAAGAATCACAAAAGAAGTAAAAATGCCCTGCCCCACCTTAACCGATGACATTCTACCACAAAAGAAGTGAAAATGGCTGGTCCTTGCCTTAAGTGATGACATTACCTTGTAAAAGTCCTTTTCCTGGTTCATCCTGACTCAAAAAGCTCCCCCACTGAGCACCTTGTGACCCCCACTCCTGCCCGCCAGAGAACAACCCCCCTCTGAGTGTAATTTTCCTTTACCTACCCAAATCCTATAAAACAGCCCCACCCTTATTATCTCCCTTTGCTGACTCTCTTTTCGGACTCAGCCCACCTGCACCCAGGTGATTAAAAGCTTTATTGCTCACACAAAGCCTGTTTGGTGGTCTCTTCACATGGACGTGCATGACAACAACATGTACTTGTCTTTTTAATTTTATTTTAAAATTTTTCTTTAGATTCTGGGATACATGTGCAGAACGTGCAGGTTTGTTACATAAGTATGCATGTGCCATGGTGGTTTGCTGCACCTATCAACCCATCATCTAGGTTTTTTTTTTTTTTTTTTTGAGATGGAGTCTTGCTCTGTCGCCCAGGCTGGAGTGCTGGAGTACAGTGGTGCGATCTCGGCTCACTGCAAGCTC